GTAAAAGAAATCTCTGATTGCTTTTCAAGTTCCTCGAAGGTCCAGCGCACGTCAATCACGAAACACAGAATTATAACGCAAGATGACACGACGCCTATATGCCAGCATCCATATCAGGTGTCAAAGAAAGAACGAGAAATTATCAAGAAGCAAGTGGAGGAGATGCTTTCGGATGATGTCATCCAGCCTTCGAATAGTCCATGGGCGTCCCCCGTAGTGCTCGTTAAGAAGAAAGACAACACACTTAGATTCTGTGTCGACTACAGAAAACTAAACAATGTAACTAAACAAAATGTCTACCGCTTGTCACGTATCGACGATACACTAGATCGGTTGTGATTCGCAAAGTTTTTCTCCTCCTTAGATCTGAAAAGCGGATATTGGCAAATAGAGGTCGACGAGCGGGACCGTGAAAAAACGGCATTCGTAACACCACATGGCCTTTACGAATTCGAAGCGCTTCCATTCGGCCTCTGCTCCGCACCAGCGACGTTCCGGCGAATGATGAACACTGTCCTCACCGGATTGAAATGGCAGTCATGCCTAGTGTATTTGGGTGACATGGTGGTATTCTCTGCAACGTTTGACAAACATCTAGAGCGACTACGCACAGTATTGGAAGCCATCCGGTTAGCAAAATTGACAATCAAACCCGAAAAATGCTACTTCGGCTTCGAAGAGCTGCGATTCCTTGGACATGTCATTAGTTCCGATGGTGTTTGTCCTGATCCCGAAAAGACAGCCGCTGTTCAGATGTTCCCTACACCCAGAGACACAAAGACAGTGCGTCGATTTTTGGGTTTATGTGCCTACTATGGGCGATTTGTGGAAAACCTCTCAAAGATTGCGGAACCTCTTACAAAACTGACAAAAGACGACGTGTCCTTCACATGAGAAAGCGAACAACAGAAAGCTTTTGACGAATTAAGGAAACGACTACAGGGTTCACCAATACTTGCCCCTTTTTATGAGACAGCCGACACTGAAGTTCATACCGATGCCAGTAATGTCGGCCTCGGCGCCATCCTCGTCCAGTGGCAAAATGGTCAAGAGAGAGTGTTAACCTATGCCAGCCGCAAACTATCAAAAGCTGAGGCAAACTACAATGCAACTGAAAAATAGTGCCTTGCAATCATTATCAAACCTTTATGGTAGAGCGTTTAGAGATGTCAGTGACCACCGTGCTCTATGCTGGCTGGCAAATCTCAAGAACCCGTCAGGTCTACTAGCATGATGGAGCCTTAGGCTGCAGAAGTATGACGTTACGATCGTGTATACATCTGGAGAGAAACACAGCGATGCCGACTGGCTGTCATGCTCTCCCGTCGATCCAAGTGTACCTGAAGAGGAAGACTTCCCGTTTCTAGGCGTTGTCGACGCATCCGAAATCGCTCAACTACAACGAGATGACCCGGATTTGCTGGCGCTTATACAACACCTGCAGGGTCTCGACGTTCAAGTCCCTCGCATATTCTCCAGAGGGCTCTCCGCGTTTTGCATTCGAGGATGTGTCCTTTACAGGAGGAACTTCGAACCTAATGGTGAAACGTTTTTACTAGTCGTGCCAACAGCCATGCGAGAGGAAATTCTGCACGCATGCCACGATGAGCCAACATCCGGACACATGGGTGTGAGCCGAACATCCGCCAGGATTCGCCTGAAATACTATTGGCCTAAGGTGCTCGCATCAGTGCAGCGCTACGTGAAAACTTGTCGTCAATGTGAACGGCGCCAAACTCCACCCGTAAAACCAGCCGGCCTTTTCCAGCCAATAGACCCTCCAGATGCCCCATTCCAACAAGTCGGCATAGACTTCCTAGGACCTTTCCCGGCATCGTGTGCAGGCAAGAAATGGATAGTCGTAGCCACAGACTATCTGACCCGTTATGCTGAGACTGACTCTCTGTACAGTGCGACAACTGCCGAAGTCACCAAGTTCTTTGTGAGCAACATACTGCTCAGACATGGTGCGCCCATCGTCGTTATTACGGATCGGGGCACCGCATTTACTGCAGACCTAATGCAATGCCTGATGCGCATGAGAAATACCGATCACAGAAGAACAACGGCGTATCACCTTCAGTCAAATGGCTTAACCGAACCCCTCAACAGAACTCTGACCGACATGCTATCAATGTATGTCGATGTTGAACATAAACATTGGGATGAAATATTACCCTACGTAACATTCGCATATAATACAGCCGTTCAAGAAACAACCCACGTTGCACCTTTCGAACTAGTATTCGGCCGAAGAGTGACCACCCCGCTGGATGCTACGTTACCACTACAGGACGAAAGCAGCTATCCACCTGACTTGACGACTTCTTACAAAGAACCGAAGAAGCACGGCAGTTGGCAAGATACATAATACGCCACCAACAGCACGTCGATTCTAGTCGGTACAAGCGACGCAGTGAGGCACTTTATCATCCCGGTGGCAAAATGTGGATATGGATACCAAGGCGCCGCCGCGGACTCTCTCAAAAGCTTCTTTGCCGATACTTCGGCCCTTATGACGTACTCAACCGTATCTGCAACGTCACTTATGAAGTCAGATCCGCTGGACACGTGAGTTCAAGACGCCGCAATCCCACGGAAGTGGTACACGTAGTCCGCATGAAGCCTAACATGACAGATCGTAGAAAAACGAGTGAGAGTGCGCATGTATCTTTTAACTGTCTTAAGTATCGGGACGATGCGTTTGAGGAGGAAGGTAATGCTGCGACACGTTCGCCACGTTCAAGTAGACCGCCACAATCATCGTGGCACCAGCACCAGCAAGACTCGGCTGGCATGCGCCACGCATTTGTGCACTCCGGCAACGAGGAAGAGGAAGATAGTTGGATCTGTGCCGCTCGGCTACTCGAACTTGATGACCCTAGTCTTTAGAATCATGGGCACAAGTTCGCCCTAATAAAGGCGCTTGTTTTTTTAACCTGTCTGCCTCAGCGTCGCTACAATATATATATATATATATATATATATATATATATATATATATATATATATATATATATATATATATGAAAGAAGTGTATACTTAAGCGCTTGTTTTTCTGCGTTTGACACAATATCAATGAGATCTAGCAGACAAGAATGCCAAGGACAATATGGGGGAAGGTATTAAACCTAATAGCAATGTAAATGTGAAGAATGAAAAGTGGGTGAAATTATAAATTGCCGTGGGCAGGAACCGAATCTGCGACCTTTGTATAACGCGTTAGATTCACTGCCAACTGAACTGCCACGGCAGCCATCCCCCAAAACATTTTATTGTGTGTATATTTTTAACTAAACGCGGGAGTGTCGGCCAACGCCACCAGTAGCCAAGGCGACGAGTGTGGCACACTCTTTATGAGCCAGTTTGGCGTCACGAAGCACGTGAACTTATTACGCCCTGACAGCTGACCAATAGTCCCTCGTATACAACCTACAGGCACCAAGTCTCCCAGTACGAGGCCCTCGTTATTGATTTAAAGAAAGAAGTGCATGCCTAAGGGCTCATTTTTCTGTGTTTTACATGATAATAATGAGATCTAACAGACAAGAATGTCAAGGAAAGCATAGGGGTAGTTATTAGACCGAATGGTAATGTAAACGTGAAGAAAGAGAAGTTGCTGAAAAGATAAGTTGCCGTAGGTAGGAGCTGAACCTTCGACTTTTGAATAACGCGTTCCATGCTCTGCCAACTGAGCTACCACGGCGGCCATCCCTCCAACCACCTTATTAAGTATATATTTTAGAATTAAATTGGGTAACGTTAGTTAGCGCCACCAGTAGCCAAGGCGGCGTGTGTGGCACACTCTTTATGAGACTGTTTGGTACCACTTAGCACTTGAACTTATTACGACCTGATAGCTGACCAATAGTTCCTCGCATACAAAATAAAGGCACCACGTATGCGAGTACGAAACCCTCGTTAATGAATTAAGGAAAGAGGTTTATACTAAATGGCTCGTTTTTTCATGTTTGGACATAACATAATGATATATAACAGACAAGATTGCCGAAGAAACTATAGGCGAAGTTATTAGAAAAAATGGTTATGTAAATGTGAAGAAAGAGAAGTGAGCGATGAATGAGTTGCCGTGGCGAAGAACCGAACCTGCGACCTTTGTATAACTCGTTCAATGCTCTACCAACTGACCTACCATGGCGACCATCCCTCCAACCATTTTATTGAGTATATATTTTGGAAATAAACGTGCGAGTGTCAGTCAGTGCCACCAGTAGCCAAGGTGGCGACTGTGGTACACCTTTTATGAGGCTGTTTGGCGTTACGTAGCACGTGAACTGATTATGCCCTGACAGCTGACCAATAGTCCCTCGTATATAACCTAAAGACATCAAGTCTGCCAGTACGAAATCTTCGATAATGAATTAAGAAAAGAAGTGTATGCCTAAGGGCTCGTTTTTTTCTTGCTTTGACACAAATTTAACAAGAACTAACATACAAGAATTCCAAGGAAAGTGTAAGGTAAGTTATTAGACCGAATGTTTATGTACACGTGAAGAAAAAAAGAGTGGGTGAAAAGATAACTTGCCCTGTGCAGGAACCGAACCTGCAATCTGGCCAGTGCAGTCTTAAACAATCAGGTGTGACAAAATATTGCTCGAATAATTCATAAGAGCATGAATCAGCGTAAGTTTTATTGCAAATAAATAGCTTAACAAACATACATGAAATGCTATGTATCTGAATAGCACATGTTTCCTTCGTGCTGAGATAACTCGCTAAAACATGGGTGTTTCAGTTGAGTCACCTTTCACTTTATCTGTGTCTTTTTTCGGAGGTGCCAGTAAGGTTATTCAAGCGACGTTTCAATGCATATTCTTACGTGCACACTTTATTATTAAAATCTTACCTGACATACAGTTAACTGATTCTTTGCACTGTGTCGCTCTGCGTGTCGACACTACGACTTTGTTGTATACAATTTAATAGCTACATTTATGCAAACGTTGAATGGACATGTGATATTCCGTTTTATACTTACAGGTCACAGTTACATTCATTGTTATATAGCACAATCTAGCTTGTATGTCAAGGGCTATTTTCCTGAAAGTGAGTGACGTCAATACTTTATTATGCAATCTCATGTAGCAATTCAATGCTTTAATGAGTGTACGTAATAAGATGATGTAATATCTGGGAATGTAAGTGCCTGTAAACCTTTACCGCAGTTGTGAACCAAACGGGAAAAATAGTTTGGCGCTCCATTGGGCTATTTGCAACCTATACTGCAAAAATATATTGCAAAATATTGCAAACACGTAACTTGATCTAAAAGCTTTAAACACTGATTTTGAACGACGTCAAATTTATTGAAGATTTAACAAATGGCTGCAAAAAGGCAATTATTCACAAGTTCCTATTTAGACTATGCTGGCGAAATCTAGCAATTATCTGTTGTTGCAACAAAAGTAAAGAAAATAAGCTAGTAGGAAAAGAAATTTTAGCTTTTCCTAGTGCTAGTGAAGCTACTTTACCATGTACAACTACCCACTAGTGGTCACCAATACTAGCGTGTACTAGAACAAGGGTAGTGCCCGGGACGGCCGCAGCACCAATGCAATAAAAGTGAAGCCCATACAAGGTGACTCGGCTTATGGCACTGCGATCGGTAGTGTGCAATGTGTCATCATTTTAAAAGCCACGCGCAGCAGCACCACCGGAGTGGTCGATCCTGTAATCCGTTCCTTCTTGCAGGTTGCACTTGTTGATTGCTAACCAGATTTATTTGTTTCATCCAACTTCTCTGAACGCCCATGCTTGTGGGGATTCATGCAAGAAGTTTACCTCGCAGTTCAGTTCCTTAAAGCTCGGTTTTCTGTAGAATACCTGTACACAGTATCGCGCAAGGTGCTGTATAAGGACCTACTGAGTACAGTCTTCCCACCTCCATTGAACCGCTCACTGTACTCTAATCTTCCAGGCCACGACGTGTTGAAGCGAGTTCGCAAAATGTACATTCCACCAAATTCAAAAACATTCTTCTATAAACTCCACTCTGAAATATTGGCGGTAAACACATGGTTAGAAAGAAAGGGTATTTTCATTCCGTCTGTTAACTGCCGTCTATGTGATGTGCCGGAAACGATTGAACATTGCTTTGTTTGCTGCAAAGATGCCATACCGTTTTGGGATGTCTTTCAGCGAGCACTGAAAAAACGTTTCGTCGTTAATTCTCACACAATACGTTATCTTCTACCAGCAGTGCTTGATGAAGTACCATATGATATGTTTTTCCTCATGGGTATGCACAGCTTGTGGAAGACACGAATGCAAGACCGCAATGCAGAGCCCACCACCTCTTCAAGCGCACACTTCATTCAAATGGTTATCCACCTAAAAAACATTTACAACGAGGTAGGCTTTAGACCGGACTGGTACTCCGTCTTAGAGAACTGTTTGACGTCACCCCTTTTTTGTTTGTATCCCGAATGTTGAAATAAATAAAGTTCATGTTCAAGTTCATAACACGATGTGAAGAACTCTACAAGTGAGGAACTCACGCTGTGTTAGCCATTTAGTGTTTATGAGTAACGCTTCAGCGCTTACTTTCGCGATTTGATTGTACTTTTGTTCGCTTGATATTGTCTTTATTACACAAGTACTTTTTTAAATACCATGAAAAAAAACACCGGAGTGGTCGAGGGGTAGAATGCTCGCTTCCCACTCAGAACACCCAGGTTCGAATCGCAGTTCTGTACGATAAATTTTCTTGCTTCCTACATTTACTCGCACAAGTGTACTGGTTGGCTTTTTTTAATCTGGCTTCAGTTGCTACCTATTGCTACAAAACATCATGCGAAATGAGAAGTGAAAAATAAAGAACTTGACAGCGAGGATGGATGGATACGGCGGTACCCTTTAGATCGGGCGGTGGCTAGCGCCACCAAGCCGTAATACTTAATGAACCCAAAACTATATTTCTTTTTTTTCCTTAAAAAGTGAGTTTGAGGATTCGTACTTTGAAGTGAAGAGTTTAATTTTCACTCGTGCCTTGACTTTAGCCACCAATCAGATAACCTCCTTCTAGTTAAGTGTACTTGCTCAAAGTCTATTTTGCCCTCCCGGTCCCTAAACCCCAATGCTTTGAAAAACTCTGCGCCATCATCCTGAACTATCGGGTGAAGCCCTTTAGAGAACATTATCAAGTGTTCGGCAGTTTCTTCTTCCTCTCCACACACACTGCATACTGTGTCTACTCCTTCGTATTTGGCCCGATATGTCTTGGTTCGCAGTACTCCCGTCCTTGCCACAAACAGTAGAGACCTACCCCGAGTATTATCACAGATCCTTTCCTTGGCAATTTCCTGCTTAAAAGTTCGATAGATCTCCAGTGGGGACTTCTTAATCATGCCCATTTTCCACATGTCAGTCTCCGTTTCCTTCACTTTCTTCTTAACCGATAGTTCTTTTTGGTTTGGCCACCTGCTGTTTTCTAAGTATTTACCACTCAACTTCCTGGTTCGCTTCCTCCATTTTGTATCGACATTCTTCATGTACAAGTAGCTGAAAACCTTCCTAGCCCAACGCTCCTCCTTCATTTCTCTCAATCGCTTCTCAAATTTTATCTTACTGCTAGCTTCCCTGCCCTCAAATGATGTCCATCCCATATCACCTTGTACTCGCTGATTTGGTGTATTCCCGTGAGCTCCTAAAGCAAGCCTACCTATTCCAGGTTGCTTAATTTCTAATCTTGCCTGAACTTCTGATCTCATGCACAAGACCGCATTGCCGAACGTGAGCTCAGGAACCATGACCCCTTTCCATATTCCTCCCACAACATCATACCTATTGTAATTCCACAGTGCCCTATTTTTCATCACTGCTGCATTCCTGTTACCTTTAGTCGTCACGTATATTTCGTGTTCCCTCAGGTACTCGGTCCCATTGCTTATTCATACGCCCAGATATTTGTATTTATCTGTTATCTCTAGCGTGACCTCCTGTATCCCAAGCTCAGTACCTTCGTTGTCATTAAAAACATGACTGCTGATTTTTCCTTACTGAATCTAAATTCTAACCTATCTCCCTCATTACCGCAGATGTCCATCAATCTCTGCAAATCTTCCGTGTTGTTGGCCATTAGCACTATATCATCTGCGTGCATTAATGCTGGTAGTGCCTGATCAATAAGTTTTCCTTGTTTGACTAAAGAGAGGTTGAAGCCCAGCCCACTTCCCTATAATTTTGCCTCTAATCCTTGTAGGTACATCATGAATAATAAGGGTGACATGGAGCACCCCTGCCTAAGCCCCCGTTTTACCTCTGCAGGCTTGGATACCTGTTTTTCCCACTTTATAACTACCTTGTTACCTTTATAGATACCCTGTAAAGGGTTAGTGACTACATGTTCCACGCCTAGTGTGTCCAGTATTCCCCACAATTCCTCTTGAACCACGCTATCGTACGCTCCCTTGATATCCAAGAATGCTAGCCACAGGGGCCTGTGTTCCTTTTCTGCTATTTCGATGCACTGTGTCAGTGAGAACAGATTGTCTTCAACCTCCTGTGTTTCCGAAACCCATTCTACAGTTCCCCCAGCACTCCCTCATCTTCTATCCATGCCTGCAGTCTTTTCTTTATAATCTGCATCGCCAGCCTGTAGACCACTGATGTCACTTTTATAGGACGGTAGTTGTTTATGTCAGCTTTGTCCCCCTTTCCTTTATAGATCATGCTCATCCTTCTAAGTTTCCATACATCGGGAACTTCACCATCGATTATTATTTTGCTCACTGCCTCTCTCAAAGCCTGCTTAGACTTCGGACCTAATGTCTTTATCAGCCTAATTGTAATGCCATCTGGGCCTGTTGATGTACTACTAGGAACCCTTTTCTCAGTCCTTTACCACTCTCGTTGTGAAAATGGAGCCATTGAACCACTTGATTCGTCCTTGTCTATTGTGGTGCATAAAGTACTTCTTTGTTGAAATTTTTCTCTCAACCTTGTTCTTATATATTCAATAGCTTCGTCCCCCTCTAGCCTGCCACCTTGGGCTGTAGTTATAAAACTCTGCTCTAGGCTCGTCTCATTTCTTAGGGAGTTTAGATGGTTTCAAAATTTCGCAGCTGCCTTTCTATCTTTTTTATGTACTTCTGCCAGCCACTGAGCTCCCTTTCTTCTAATCTTTTCATTGATCAGAAGGGATGCAGCCCTTCTGCAGCTTAGAAAGGTTTCCCATTTTCTTTCAACATCATCTGTCGGTTCACCCCGCTGCTTAGCATGTCTGTGTTCCCTAGAGGCTTCCTGACGTTTGCTATGGTTCTCTTAACTTCGTCATCCCACCAGCTTTTGGGTTTGTGTCTTCTTTTCCGGGGTGACTTGTTACGCGTTCTAGCAAGCTCTAGCTCAAAGAGTCTAATTAGATTCGTGTATGTCCACACTGCCTTATTATCCTCCGTGATTACTTTCTCAATTTGTTTAGTGGCTATTTTAATTTGCCTTTCTGAATAAAACTTTTCCTGTAGTTGCTCATCTTGTCTCACACAAGATGAGCAACTACAGGATGAGCACAAGATGAGCACATTCATTTACAGCACCACTGCACGGGATTCAACAAAAACTAAAAAGCATGGCTTCCGAGATTTTAGCGAATAAGGGAGACATTGTGCTTTCACTTGCCTGTGGTCCTCGGCCGCTGGCTAATATTAAATTTTGCGTACGAGCGCTGTGGACAACGTTTTTTTGTCGTGTGCGACAACAATATCAATGAGTTCAACTGTCTGTTTCTGCACACCTCTTGATCACTTTAATTAATGTTACACCCCAGTAGCTTTCGTCTTTAGTGTCAGAAGGAACACTGCAAACTCAGACAGAACATCGCTTCTATTCTTCGCTTCATATTTCGCGTGATTTTTGTAGCAACATGCAGCAACTATGTCAGAATTTAAAAAGAAGCCAACCTTCGTGATTTCCCGCTTCACAAAGATCGTTAACTTTCAGTTTTTATTTTTTAAGTGAACCAGCGGGTGGCAACCGCCGGCGAGTAAAAGCACACAGTCTCTCTTATTCGCTAAAATCTCCGAAGCCATGCTTTTAAGTGTTCC